GAGTTTTCTGCTTACTTTTATTACATCTATGGGTGCATACAACTTGAAATAAGGAAGGAAAGAGGAGAAAACGTGAAACCGAGACAACAGCCACCATATATAAAAATATATGTCAAATCTCTATACATTGAACAGTGGGTCATGGAATGATAAAATTGAACTCACTATGACATTATTGGACACAATGCATAAATGTCGGACTTTGTTCTATTTCAGACAATTGACCATAAATCAAATATCATTTGCTATTCGGTTTATAGTCAATCGTCTGTCATCCATCACCATGTGAACAGGATCAATATTTTCCTTGATGATGGCAGTTGCAGGACGTCCAGACTTTGGGTCATCTTCAAGACTCTCCCTTCCCTTTTTAAATTCAGCTGCCCACTTTCATCCCTTAATGTATCAACCATCTCAGTATGGATGTCCTATGGGGCTAAACCCTTTTTCTACAGCTACTTGATAACACCACAATGCCAAATTTATTCCATTTTCAAGAGAAGTTGCTACTAGTTATTTTTTAAGTCTTCTTTGAAGTCAGGTGTCGGTTTACATGGAAAGAAACAATGCAGTTATTAATAAGAAGAGTTGAAATGAATGCATGCAGGATTTCAGTTTGAGGCATTTTTTTTTTTTCATCATGGTATGCTCATTATATATATATATATTCATTGATGCATGTTTCATTAAATAATATAGACATGGTTTGTCTATTTTAAGTAAGTTCCTTTCATATTGTCTGATAAGCTTAATAACATTATCATTGAAAGACGAAAGGAAGTCACCATATTGATACATGTTTAAATCCAATCTAAACTTTCGGCTTACATAAGCCATTATCAAAGATGACAATTACATTTCAATATATCAACCAATACACGGAGGAAACAATAATGATTGTCTGTTTTTGTTGCATGAAAAATTTCAAAGCAACGACAAACTCATGTATACGAGACACGGAAGCGAAAATCGCGTTGCAGCTCATGATGTCACACATGACACGCAATAGTGAAAACGAGAAGTATTAAGTATGGGAAGCTGTTGGTATAAACCAATGGCTTCTGTTATCAATTATAGGCATTTAATTATATTTGTGGAGATTTCATTGTTTATTTTGTTCAGGTTAGGTTTCAACTGTTTTATGTATACAGCTTCAAAAATTTTTAGTTTTTGTTTGTTTTCATGTTTAAGTATAGTTGTGTTTTCAACAAGGATTTTCTGAAATTGTGTATGTGGCCAGGCATGTTGTTTTTTTATATATATATATATATATATATATAAGGAAAAGGAAGACTGAAAACAGCCATGCCTAAAAGGTATAGACAAGAAAAAAGTGCTCAATTCAAAATCAAATATGTAGAGATATGATATTTAAGAAAAGGCTTCTTGCTTTCAACATACTCTTACCCTTTCACCTCTGGTTTCTGGCATATTGGAGTAGTTGTTTTTGGTTCCTATATCCTACCACTTGCCGTACGGTTTAAACTCTGGTAGCAAGGTTGGTTGGAATTTTTATATATATATATATATATATATATATATATATATATATATATATATAATGTATACATGGCTTTGTGTGCTCCTTTTCCCCACTTCATGAATATGTTGTAATATTACATTAACAAATTCTCAACTGTATTTTCATGTAATTGCCACAGTTTATTGTGCCAAGCGAAGTCTTGATTGGTCGTTGTCTACTGGAGCAACTTATATAATTCATGTCCTAAAGCTAGTGGCAAATTTTTGTTCTAGATGCGGGCCGAATACTGATCATATTCAGTCGGGTCGCCCATCGAAGAAGTGTTGTTTATTTAGACCCCGAAACTTTTAGTGGCATGGGAGCAACAACACTGACGACGCATCTAGATTTGGCACTTAAAGGTGTATTTTAATAATAATAACTCCTTGCTTAACTGTAGTTATCTGCCTTAAAATTTATTTTTTTATTCTTATGTATGCTGATGAAAAGTGGGTAGAGTAATTGCTCTGTAGTGGATAAGTTTTAGAAATTTAATTTAGGTGAGTGATTTGTTTTGTACTGTTTTTTTTTTTTTTTTTTTTTTTAATGAAGAATGTTTTCCATGTGCAATTATCTGTTCTCTTCATTAAAAAAAAATCTTCCACATATAAAAAAAAAAATATACCTTTTTTTGAATTTTATTTGAGGAATATTAGCTGATTAAAAGTTTAATCAATCTGATTTGAAACAAATATTTAAGTTTGAAATATCGCAGAAATGCATTTTTTTTAACATGCCAGCGGCTCTTTTAACATCTTGACAGTTTGACTGGTAGATAAGAGTTTGTCTGATTTTTTTTTTCTACTATTGATACATCTCTAAAAATCACTTCAGGAATATAACATGACTGCTTTTTAATATAATTTTTAACTACCCAATAATCTTATAAATTTAGGAAAATATTCTCCATAATCCATAAGTTTTCCAAGTTTTATTGAATTTTAGGTACTTTGCCTTTAAATGGATTAGATTTATTGCTCTATTTTCTGATAATGTTGAGTGTGGGTGTTCATATTTCCAAAAATCTGCATGTTCATGCACATATTAAAATGATAAAAAAAACTTTCCTAATTCAATAATGTCTTACTTTTCTTTTGTAGGAGGCACGATGGAGTAATGGATAGTGGCTTGGATTGAGAAATTGGAGATCCGAGTTCAAATTCCAGTCAAATCCATTACGTCCACTTACGTGCTAATACCCTTGGGAAAGGCATGAATCCTCTTCTCCCCTCCAGCTATTGATAAATAGTAGGATAGACTGGATTCTATAGCCTTGGTTGGCAACTAGTCTACTGCAGAAAGAAATGGCAACCTACTGCGGGGAAAAAATCTGCCTCGTAAGTCATGTATCAAAAGATACATGATCACCTTAGCGTGTATCAAACATGGCACATAATTGACTGACTTAGTTTTATTGTATTTTTTATTTTAAAATTCAGAAGATTTTCGGTAACTGTTTTACAAAAAGGAATTGATGATTTAAGTTCTCCAAGGACTTCTGCATATAACTAATATAAACGTTAAGTGGTATTGTAATTATTTACATCATTCGGACTGTTGTCCTCATCTTTCTTACCATATTCACATTTCAGACGTATGTTCTGGGCTTCTTCAGGTGATTGGAATTTTGAACTGAATCCTTTTTCATTCACCAGGGTAGATTGTCCTAGTTCCACATGCCATGCCATGTGTTGGTTATCTCTCCATATGTGGTCAGTCACACCTGATTTTTCAACTTCCCCTTGGGTTACAGCTTTAAGGACACCTGGCACAGTGGATAAAGGTGTTGGTTAGATCCAATGACAGGACCCAAAGAGTTGTGATTTCAATACCCCAGCGAGCGAAATAAAGGGTTCAGTTTGACATTCCAATCACCTTAAGAAGTATACAATGCCCGAAACATTGTGATAAATATGGCAACAAAGATGAGGACAACAGTCCAAATAATGTAAACGGTGTACATAATACCTCATCTCAGAAATATAGACAGAAAACTTTCTGCACAAATTACATTTAGATTTTTAACCTAAACCACACTGCATTATTCACTTGAAAAAAAAAAAAAAAATTGAAAGCCAAGGGAGATTTTAAAGAATAATAAGCAGATATGGAAAACTTAGTCATGACATGAGAAAATTATTTTTCAATTGCTTTAAAAGTTTTAATTGTGAATAGATGAAATACGTTGATATTTTTCATATAGAAATTGAATGTTCTAGAACACAATTCTTAAAGTCAAATAAAATGATACAAGATATTATTTTTATAAAGTTTACAGTAAAACTTTACTAATTTGTTCTTGTAATTATTCATTTTTAAAGCTTAATATTTTAGCTTTTTTTTAAAAAAAAAATTATTTTCTGAACATTTTAATGTTTTTATTATAAGAAATAGGTTTGTGTTTATAAACAAAGCAAGAAAATTATTTATTTATTTATTTATTTTTTTTTTTCCTGTCTGTTTTTGGTTAACCATTAATTCTTGATGCCTTATTCACACTTCCCTTTCCACTGCATTGTTTGTTTGTTTGTTTGTTTTTTTGTTTTTTTTTTAGGCTCCTCTACTGCACTACTTAATTTTTCATTTTCTGTTACCATAGTAGGATATGACAACACAACTGCAAAATTCAAACATGCTACTATCCATTCATCTTAGTCACTTGCAGTGGCAGGATATGTTTGTTTTGCAAGCAAAATCACTTCCAGTATGTTAGGGGTTAAAAAGGTAGATTAAGAAACCACATTAATGTTATGTTTTCTGCTTATCATAAACTAAATTGAAAAGCCAAGGGAGATTTTAAAGAATGACAAACAAATATGGAAAACTTAATCATGACACGAGAAAATTATTTTTCAATCGCTTTAAAAGTTTTAATTGTGAATAGTTGAAATATGTTAATATTTTTCATATAGAAATTGAATGTCTAGAACACAATTCTTAAAGTCAAATAGAAATTATAAAATAAAAAATTATTCAAGGTTATTTAATAGAAATGTTTAAATAATAAATATTTCATTATAGTGGGTTCACATTTTTGTAATCTTGTAAATAAGCAATCTAATAGATAAATAGGGTTTAATATCTTTATCAATTCTCAAGAATTAAAAGGTATAAATCCACTTTTATAGGTTTAGGCTTTAATCTTTATCGCTCCTCATTATTTGCTACTTTTTTTTTCCACTGCTTTGTATTTTCAAGGCTCCTCTACTGCACTACTTAATTTCAGTCAGTATTTTCTGTTGCCATAGCAGGATATAGCAACACAACTGCAAAATTCAAGCATGCTATCATTCATTCATCTGAGTCACTTGCAAGCGAAATCACCTCGAATTTGTTAAAGTTCAAGTCAGTTTTCACAATAACGTTGGTCTTAAAAGCATGATTTATATGAAAGTTTTTATTGATCTCTACATTAACTGTAGGATCTATAATGTAAACAAATCTATAATTGTTGAAATATATTTATTTCTAATTTCAGATACATAAAGATTGCCATGGGTCGTAAAAAAGATATAACCTCAAAAGAGAAAGAGGATATTGTGAATCTCTTCAGTGATGGCAACACGACGTTGGAAATTGCCAAAAAGTTGAACCGAGATCACAGAACGATAAAAAAGGAAATCGAAAACATTGGCAAGAAAAGGACGAGGAAGAAAACGGGCTTTAAAAATGTGAAAAAGAGAGACTTGCGAAAAATCAAGAAATTAATAAGCAAGAAACGGGAATTGACCAGCAAGAAAATATTTGAAGAAGCTGGTGTTATGAATATAAATCGAGAGAAAAGATGTCGAATCTTAAGAACCTTGGCAAAAGACATGAAAACAAGCAAACCCGATGGGGAGAATAATGATTTGTCATCACAAAATTGGACATCTCTTGACATTAACTATTGAATGAAAGAAACTTTATTAAAAGCAATTTTTTTTTTTTTTCGTGAAATGTTTATCTGATATAAAAAATTTTCTTACATTATCTAGAAATGAAGTTTGTATTTTTTTATTTTTTGTGTACTAGAAATTTCATGTAAAATCAGTTGGTATGATAATTGTCCAAAAATAGTGTCAATTTAACTTTTCTATAGAAATGCACCTCCCTAAAGAAAAAAATTTTTTTCAATTTTCGTCATGTTTGAGTCTGTGACATTTACTTATGTGCAAATATCATTGGGAAAACATTGGAAACCTCTTCTCCCCCAACAATGGGTTACATAGTAGGACTTTTATCTAGTAAAATTATCTCCCAAAAATTATTGCTGCCAGATTCACTTAAAAAGAACAAAGTTAATTTGATTGTTATTTAAACACACCAAATCATGAATAATGAATATAACTAAGTTTTTAATTTTCAAGATGCGACTTCAGTTCGAATTGCAAATCCCACAAAATACAGAATGCAGTGGATAAATTGTTCTCTAACTGACACAAAAATGAGAATAACACTGACATCTCATTTTAACAGATATTTACCAAATTACAGAAAAATATCTTGCTGGGGAGAATAATGATTTGTCGTCGTAAAGTTGGACACCTCTTGTCATTAACTATTGAATGAAAGAAATTTTATTAAAAGCATTATTTTTTTTTTTTTGTTTTTCATGAAATGTTAATCTGATATAAAAAAAAAATTTTCTTACATTATCTAGAAATAGTTTTTTTTTTTTTTTTTTTTTTAATTTTTATTTGTATACTAGAAATTTCATGTAAGTCAGTTGGTATGATAATTGTCCACACATAGTGTCAATTTGGCTTTTCTATAGAAATACACTTCCTTCAAGAAAAATATCTTATTTTTTTTTCAATTTTCTTCATGTTTGAATTCCTGTTGAGTCTTACATTGACTTGCATGCAAATATCTTTGGGGAATAATTGGAATCCTCTTCTCCCCCCAACTATGGGTTAAATAGTAGGGTTTGTGTCTAGTAAAATTATCTCCAAAAAATTATTGCTGCGATATTCATATTAAAAAGAACATTTTAACAGATATTTACCAAATTACAGAAAAACATCTTGATTTACTAAAGAGTAAATTTATTCAATAAAATTGCCATTGGCTTCAACCATGGCTTTGAGACGACTTTGGTGTCTCCTCCAACTCTTCTGGACAGTCTTCTTGTTTAATTTGGTGAATGCTGTCATAATCCTTACCTTCAGTTCATCTTTGGTGTTCCAAAGAGTTTTGTTGGCCTCTCGCTCAACTGCGCCGCACACAATAATCAAGGGTCTTGCAAGTCTGGCAAATTAGGTGGTCAGTTTTCAGATTGTGATGTGGTTTCAGAAATTGTCTGACAGTCATCACTGGATTCTCCTGCTTATGATATGGTGCAGAGTCCTGTTGCCAGATATAAGGTTTTCCAACAGACACTGTCTTGTCCCAGGGCAGCACTACTTCATTAAGGCACTTGATGTTGGCCTCTGTGTTGAGTCTGAGGCCTTCATCAACAAATTTGGGAGTTCTTAGAGTGCATTTTCTGAGCTGCCCTACCTTCATAATCACCATTAGACTCATCAAACTCTTTTTGAATCCTCTGCACTGTTCTCAGATTGTCATCCAAACACTCTCCAATGTTTGTATTGGAGCTTCGGCATGAATGCTAAGCCGTACAGCATCTGTTTCCAAATTTCTGGCAGAGTGAATTGTGCCATAGTGCACTTTTTCTCCCAGACAGTGCCCAACTGACCCTACTATACGGTGCAATTGATAAAGACAAACAATGCAGACATGGGAAATTAAAAATTCAAGAAAATTTACAAAAATTAAAGAATTCAAGTTTCGTTTCTGTTCAAATTTGAATTCTCTTTTTCAGCATAACTTCATTGGCTTAACTTGTTATCAACAACTTCTCATATGTTATTTTCTTTTCTTTCCTCTTCCTTTGTATCTGTGTGATTTTGAATATACTCTTCTTTCTTTTGCCTCTCTTTTCTCTTGGCAGTAGGATTAATTTCTTATGCTTTCTTTTTGCCTTTCTTTTCTTTCCTCTTCCTTTTCTTTTTATTGATTTCTTATTTCCACTCATTTCCTGTAATTCGATCATTACAGTTTCTGTATCATTCATTACCTCTTGTCTCAACCCTGCTTGGTTATTTATTAACCAATTGATTCTGGCTCTATTCTTGGCCACTTCCAACCTTGTCACATTTAATATTGACACACTCTCCCTTGCCACTTGAACCAGCGTCCTCTGGTTCATTTCCACTTCTCCCAGTTTTCTTCTTATGAATTTAACGTCATCTTCAGTCACTGTTCCAAACAGGACATTTAACGCTTTTCCCACAATCGGAACTACCGATCTCTTTTCCTGCGTCTGCAGTAACTCTATTCCCTTCAGGTAATTTTGCATGTCCCTCCATTGAGCCTCTATTATAGTGGCTTCCGATTCTAGGGAGTGTAATAATCTGAGATATCCTTTCGCCTTGGAATAATCTTGCCCTACCTTCAACCAGGCTGCATCCAGCTGCGTTAGCTCATTTCTTAGTTTATTTAATAGCGACTCGTGTGGTTTTAAATCTATCACGAATGTGATCAACCATTTAGACCTGGTTATTATTACTTCACTCGTCTTTTTAAAAATGGTATTTCGGCTGTGCTTCCAAGCTTCCGCCATCGTCACCATCAATGTGGCTACCATCATCATCATTAACCCTTTCATTTTGGTCATTTCTGCAAGGCAACAAGATTCTCTTGTTTTTATTCTTCTTAACCATTCTATCTTGTTCAATTCTTCACTCAACTGTTCCATAATTTCTTTTCTAAGTTTGTAACCCTTCAGCTCTTTCCTCCCCTAACTCCTAGCAGATCGAATGTTCCGGACAGCCCCCCCTCCCACCAAAGGCCGTAACCTCATGACACTACTGCTGGCCAGTCAGCAGTGCCACAATCCTCTTCTGTCCTTCGTGAGGTGCAACCCGTGACCTCCCCTCCACCCACATCCACCACAGCCAGCTTTTGGATGAGCCAGTGTCGTTATTCTTTCTCTCTTGATTCTTCATTCTGATTCGAGTCTGCGCCTTGGACTTCATTTCTTTTTGATTCAACGTCTAGATCTCCCTTGTTTCTTAGCCCTTTCTCGGCTCAGAGAAAGGCTATCTGATCCTCTTCCTCCTCCCACTCGCTGACCTCTTTTTTCTTGTTTAGGGTGTTTCTCTTTAGAACCCTTGACTGGATTTCCTCGCTTTTCTCTTCCTTTTCAGGTGGTTTAAATTCAGAGTTTCCTGTTTACACAAACATGTATATGCGCAAAAGCTGAGTATCATATACCATGTATTCAACTGTGAAAGCAGAATAACGTACATCATATTTTTATTACTTCAAAGCCCCCAAGAAAAAATTCAGTATTAAATGACCCATAAAAGAGTTGATACGTCATTAAAAAAATCAGTCAACCAATCCTTTGAGAAGTCGTTAAAGATTCGTTTTTTTTCTCACTGACGAAGACCACTTCATCAGTGAAAAAAAAAAAAAAAAAAAAAAAAGTAATTCGTGAGCTGTTAATTGACTAGTTGAATTCATACAATTGCGTCCAAAATATATTTTTAGCTGAAGCCATAAAATTGTGTTCCAGATACTTAGATTTTGTAATTAAATAACCCATAGAGGTGTTGATATGCTGCTAAACAAAAAAAACAACCAAATATTTAAGCAGTGCCAAGACATGAATCCAACTCTTTTCCCCAAACCAGTACCGGGGAGAGAATTTCCGAGGTCTGACACTCAGATTATTTTGATACCCCCTCCCCTGTCTTTTGGGTCGGAAAAGGAGATCCTGGGAGAAAAAGACCTACAAATTCAAAAATTTTTGAATTTGTAGGTCTGATGAATTGGATCGTAATTACGGTTCCAATGTAATAAATTATAACCAGGGAATATTAGTGTTTGAACCTTTTATATTATATTCTTACTCTGTCCTGGACATTGTGTTCTACCTGGATTATATCCTCTTGGGTATATATATATATATATATATATATATATATATATATATATATATATTGACCACTAATATTATCGATATGTATGCGATATTGAGACTAAGCCCTCGACCAACTTGATTCGTCCTCCGCGAGAGACGACGCGTCATAAGCGAACAATATATATATATATATATATACATATATCTATCTTCGTCTGAACACACATATATATATATATATATATATATATATGTTCGGACGAAGATAGATACGGACAGACGACCAGAGATCAGTCGAGTGATTGATAGATAGCTAGATATGAAAGAATCGTAAGGGAGATCATCATCAACGTCATCAACATTATCGTTCCGTCGACTTCTTTAATTGTTTTTGGCAGATAAAAAAGACTTTGATTCTTCTTATTTTAAGTGAGCTTTCAGATAGCTTAGCGGCGCCCATCTCTTCTCCTAGTTTTTGACCGACAGCCGAAGTTCACGGAATATATGGTGTGCGTCCGGTCCGTTCACTTGGTCATCATGTTTTGAATTCAGCGTTATTTTTCTTAAGATTATAGGAACCAGTCTCTCCTGC